TGATTTGTTGTAAAGCAATTCCCCTTCCGATTAGCTATGATATGCTGGGATTTACATCTTCTCTTCCTAGATTGTGTAATTGCGATGTTAATAAGCGTCCTCGTCTAATTAAAAGACAGCTGTTTGGAGTCATCGGTACTTTGTGGTACTTAATTTATCAAGGCGAGCGAGATGGCCCAAGTGGTCAGAGCGCGAATTTACTGACCTGAAGGTTCGTGGTTCGAATCCGACTTCCGCCACTCGACTTTGTCTATGCTTTGTGAGCACAAAGAATATTCATGACACGGGGATTTCTAGGGGGCGAGATGGCCCAAGTGGTCAGAGCGCGAATTTACTGACCTGAAGGTTCGTGGTTCGAATCCGACTTCCGCCACTCGACTTCCCCTGTCTATGCTTGGGCACCCTGGCAGTATCCCAGCCCTCGTGCTTCCTTTGGGTGGCATGGCACCTAGGCACCGAAAGGGTGCTACAGCTGAACGCTACGGGGATTTCTATTAAAGGATGTGTCAAATACCAAAAGCTGCGTTGGTTGGGTCGTTGTTATAGACGGGGTATCGATTCTGATTGAGCGCGAAAACAATATTGAATATCGTAGAATGAATAGCGCTTTACCTGTCGAAGAATAGACGTGCTTAAGCTGAAACAGAAGGTGAAGGCAATGTTAATACGAAGCGACAATGTGAACACAATGGATAGTCATGACATTCACCTGGGCCGTTGGATTGTGTGTAAAGAGGGATAACTCGGTCACAAGTATTGAACGAATGATTGTAAAATCACCAAGGGGAAATTATAAGCGTGGTCATGTTTTTCGCTGGAGCGTAAGCTGCTGGAGCCTGGCTATATCAGAGATACCAAGGTCATATGTATTTGGAGATGCAGGTGCATCGCAAGGGCATGTGGGTGAGACTTAAGTATGATCGGTATTATCCTCAATGTTATTGAGCAGAGGCGCGTGCAAGTGAAACAGGGTGTATGAACGTCATTGCCTCCACTGGATGAGGTATTCGTGAATTCGTTGACAATGAGCGAGATGGCAGACGATAACCTTCCTTTCCGCCGAGACAACTAACGTGGGCGTAATGTGGACTGCAATTTATAAGTTCGACTTCCTCAACGACTGGTTCATACGGTCAAATCTTTTAAGTAAAACAGGTCCTGAAGGAGCTAGCCAAGTTGGTATAGACAAAACACAGGATGACCGACGTTCAAACTGAAACATTCGTTCATGTGGAGTGGCATTCGTGGAGATGCAGAGAAGGGACTGTACAGAGTGGGGAGCAACTGATAAAACCGACTCCCAGTGACAGATTTGAAGGCCTTCCGTCTGAGCTGGATTGGGTTCCAGAGTGTCCCACTCGACTTACCCGTTTCCCTATGGATTATAAGCAGTTGTTCGGCTAGTGCCAACTCCCCTGTCATGTAGGAATGTGGACAGTTTGTCGGATATGAATGAAGAGCCACGATCCGAATGTACATATGCAGGCATACCAAACAAATATACTAATTCACATAGACATTTAATAACTGTAGATGCACATGTATCTGCGCAATGATTGGAAAATGGAAGACGGGATGACTCGTCAACAATAGTAAAGACATATCGGTTTCGAGTAACAGAAAGCAGAGGCCCTTTAAAATCGACGCCAATTTGTTCGAATGATTAAGTCTCTTTGATGGGCGTATCGGGGGTAGTTTGTGAAACTGCGGCACAGAACCGTACATCTTGTGGTGTTGGAGGGGAAACATTAAGCTTTCGGAAAGAACAAAGTGATGCATGCGAGTAATTTCGGGATGACACAAGGAGTCGTGAATTTCATTTAATTTATTGCCGATCACACTGGCGCGACAAGGTGTCAGCCACCAGACTGACTTTTCCAGGTCTAAATGACATCGTACCTAAAGGCGGAGAGTTCCGTTTTTCATCGCTGGATTTTATCGTTTTTATCTTAATTTTCTGCGACACACTATACGTAGAGGAAACCGAACACTGATCAGTGATAAGCTTGAAGTGCTTCCCGAAGAGGTAATGCCTCCATTTACGGATAGATTCAACGATGGCGTGTGCCTCCTCAGTAGCAGACTGATTCTTTTTGCTCGGTATCAGTGTTCTAGAAAAGGTCACTGGTCGGCCGTTCTGAGTCAGAAATGCAGCAATGGCTATGTCTGAGGCATCCGTCTCTGCAACCAATGTTGCGTTGTAGTCGACTATCACTGTTGTAGTGTTCTCTAACTCCTTTAAATTTTCGAAGGACTGTTTCACACACTCCGATAAGTGGAAAGTCTTATTTCTGACTAGCACACTGATTTTGTTAGAAAGGTATGGTATCCACTGCGAATAATGAGCAAAGATACCAGCAACTCGTTGGGATTTAGCGTCATGTGGGTGAGGGAGTTCACGAATAGGGCTCATTCGTTCAGGATCTGGTTTGATAATTCCTCCAGAGACTTCATATCTGAGAAGCCACATATGTTTGCCTGCTATGATGCTTTTCTTGCAGTTAAGCGTAATGCCCTATTTTTAAGAAAGATTTGAGGTTCTGGCCACGCTCACTTTGAGTGGTGTCATAAATAGTGACGTCGATGTAAGCGTAGGTGCCAATTAAGTTCTCAGACTTGATTATATGGTCAGTAGTACACTGGGAGCACGTTACTCCGTTGGTACTATCGAAAGGAATGCAACGGAACTGAAACAGCACGCTTCGAAAGCCGTATACGGTTTGTCTTTCTCATTGATCGGAACTTGATGGTAAGTACTCAATAAGTCTAAAGTGCTAAAGACAGCATGGCAGGGAATTTCTTCAATCATTTTATCCAGTCGAGGTAACGGATAAGCGTTTAGGTATGTGAATCGATTAATGGTTTGGTTGTATTCCACTATCATGTATCTTTTGTGGTTTGAATTTTTCGCGACCGGTACCTGAGCCCTCCATGGAGAATTCGAGGGTTTGATTATGCCTTCATCCAATAGTTGGTTTGCTTCAGAGCGGATGAGGTGTTCTTCGTCGGGTTTATAATACCGTGATTTCGTGGCGATAGACTTGCAATCGGGTAAGAGGTTAGCAAAAAGAAGAGGTGATTCAACCGTGGCAGCAGTTAGACTGCAGAGGGTGAATGAACCTCGGTTCCCACCGAATATGATTTCAACTTTGTTATGTAGACGAAGGAAGTTGTGGCCTAGCAGCACGTCAGCACATAGATTTGGTAACACCAATAGGTTGATTTTTTCGTAAGCAGTACCCCTGTAATCGGTGGATGCCATGGTAATCACAGAATCGTTAGCATATATCTTCAGCCATGTGTAAGAACTACCAAAGGAGATATAACTGTGCGAACCTCCTGTTTCTGTTTCTGAAGCGATATTCCGTTTACCTTTATGCTGGTTACCGTGCGGAACAAGCAGTTCGAGGATGCAGCAGTTAACGGGAAAGACAAGGCAGAATCCACCATGCAATTGGAGTTATTTTTAACAAGTACGCTGAAAATGATCTATGTTGCCAAATGATTTACAAACTGCATCTCTTGCGGGGTATTTGGATTGTAGATGCCTGGAACAACCTCAAAGGAAATAACATCTGAGAATTGACCGACTAGATAAGGTGTGGAATCGGGGGAGATTGAGTGTGAAGAGGTAATTGTAGATGTCTATAAAGGTGCCGCAGCCGCAGAAAATCATATTGGCTGGTTATGCGAATATGACTGAGCTTGTTTATGGGTTCATTCTAACGACGTAGCCAATTCATGTGCTTCATAGATAGTTCATTTTGAGCCAGAAGCTCTCTCTGATGGTAGCAGACCGAAGTCCAATGATCAGAGCATCGCGTACACGTTTTGGTGGTCAATGGCAGACACGCCTTGTAATCACAATTTCTGGCCAGTGATTTGTGACTCTGAACAAACTGATCAACATCTCAACTAGTGTTTTGTTTGCCAGTTTGTAGAAAATGACGAGCATAAATTATATTCTTAGGACGTACGTACAACTGCTAAAGTGTACAAATAGCGGATTCGTAAATGGGACAGTCGGCGATGTAAACGTATACAGGTGAATCCACAGAATGGATCAGGTTTTCGGGTTTCAGATTGGGTGATCCGACAGTGCCATTTGGAAGGTTCGGAACCAATGATTCCAACGCGTTGTGGCATCTGGAGAATTGGGATCTGTATCGAAACACTTGGGTCGCAGCAACGGTTCCACTGTATTCTTAGACAAGTAAATTGTCATAGACGGACCACGATTCTGACTGAGCGCGAGAAAGAGACTGAATAGCGTAGAATGAGTAGCACTTTACTTGTGTAGGAATAGACGTACATAAGCTGAATACGAGTTGAACGGAGCGTCTCAACTTTGATATCGACCTTCGAAAAGAGGGCAAAAACGCCATGCAGAAACTATCGTGGCATCAGCCTGGTAGTTGCCACACTCAAAGTGCTCTTCGGCATTATTTCTCGCAGGCTGATCGATTATCCACAGACATGTTTGTGACAATCAAACTGGGTTTAGCCGTGGCCGAAGATATATCGACCACATCTTTACCTTGAGACAACTTTTTGAACAGCACCACTTTTTAACGTCCCACGTTGATCGTTTTTCTTTATTCTTGGAACTTTGTTTGGCTGAGCGGTTGGAGGTGTAGATACCTCGTAATACTTGACATAAGCCAGCAGCAGGTCCACCCTCACCCACTTTTTCTTTTCATCCTTGGGCGCTAAATATAAGTAGATAAACTTTGTGATCGAGTTGCAGTGAAACCTGAGTGTCAGCACTGCTGTTACTGTCTCCGATGATGACGGGTCACCTATCCATACTCATTTGGAGTTTTTCCTGTCCCTAACTATGGCGTGAATTTACTGACCGGAAGGTCCGTGGTTCAAACCCGACCTCCGCCTCTCGACTTCCCCTGTCTAGGCTTGGGCAACCTGGCAGTATCTCAGCCCTCGTGCTTCCTTCGGGTGGCATGGCAGCTAGGCACCGAAAGGGCGCTACAGCTGAACAGTTATTATTTATTAACTATGGCTTCCTTTCCTGGCGATCCTTGCCTTGTTCCAGTCACCCCATTTTGTCCAAATTTATGGAGTCCATCCTGGTCAAACAGCTTTTGTGCAGTACTGCTTAGGATCTGGACCGTTTGCCGTTGACTTGTGTTTTTTTCCACATGTCCTAGATTACTATGGTGAGACTGGACTGGTTGGCCCGAATGCTTCAGAGGCTCTCGGTCGACGAAATTATGAGTTTTCTCGTCAAACTTTTTACATATCGTGCACTCTTCTAGGGTCGTCTTGGTTAGGAACTTTCGGATAAATCCGTGCCTACAAGCTCGTCCCGATGGTGCTGTTCGCCGCTAAAGTTCAGCAGAGTCTCGTTTTGTCTCATACCCTTTTCCTACGACTCAATAAAGACTTTATTCCGTGTCTCCTGCTGTATTTTCACATTTGAAAACCATGCTGCCCTCGAAAAGTCTCACTCAGCACCCTATTCCGCGTAACTGACGGTCCTATGCGATTTTTCAGCGCATTCAACCCCTCCTAATACCCACATATTCCCTTCTTTCTCCGTCTAACTTCAAACTACACTATTTGTCGATTTTGGGCACACCATGCATTTCCCTTAGTTTCCCACTCTGCTGGTTGTCTTATGTCAGACCAATTGCGACTTTGGGGCGGGAAGCGCGAATTTACTGACAGGAAGGCCGTGATTCGAACCCGACCTCCGCCTCTCGACTTTCTTTCTTTAGGTTTGGGCAATCTGGTATTATCCCAGTCCTCGTGCTTCCTTTTGGTGGCATGGCAGCTAGGCACCGAAGGGGTGTTGCAGCTGAATGATTAATTGCGAATTCGGCCTCAGACTGTGGACTGATTTCTGTCCCGTGCCTAGGAACTCTCCCATTTGTTTCTAATATACAAAAATCAGGTTGTCTCTACTACTGACTATTGTCATCACGTCTGGGATAACCCCCTATTCCGATCGGTGCTCTTCAATCCTTTTCACACCGACAGGACGGGGTCCTTTTGATTTATCCCATTGCTGCCACCACAGTAATTGTTGTGAACTCATATCCCGTTCCTTTTCTCTAGTCGTTTTGTGCAAATCGCCTCTTCACTTCCGATCATCCATACCGTGTTAACCCCAACTACCGCACGGAGCTTCTGTGGCACATCTTTGGTTCACTCTGTCAACCTATTGTTCGAGTTTCTAAAAATCTTCAGTTACTCAGAACTTGGATTGACGCTTACTTGAATGACTATGTCGTACGTGTGACTACTCGTTTTTCATCTCCATCCGATATAGCCAATAGATGAGCAATATAATTTTCCGTTTGCTTGACTGAGGCGCTGCGTGGGGTGGTAATAGCTGACCAATGACCAAATTACTAACTAGATCACATTCTCCAACTGTTCAAAAAGCAAGCCTCGCAAAGTAGTAATGCTCGGTCGTTGAAATATGTACGGACTATGAAACTAGCGATCTGTGCGTTTGAAAGATTAGTATATGTTGTTTACGGGGCTGAGGGCCAGTTTCTTATGTTGTTGGTGATGCTTTTTGTTGTACCAGACTGCGTCACCCACTTCGAAGTCTGAACCTGGCATACCCTAAAAAGCCTGACTTTCTAGTTTCACCTCATATGACATCCGATGGTTTCTGTCCGCCATATTCTCAGTATTGTCTGAATTTTTGTCCATGAATATTCGGTCCAACAAGTGCGCAAGCCAATTTGCTCACACACTACTGATTCTATATAGGTGTTGACCCCATCTTTGACGATAGCGATAATGCTGGTGCTTTGAGGAATAGTCGTTCTAACAGTCGCTGACAGCGGAAGCTGAAGAGACTGTTTTTGTTAGTGCTACTCAGTTTGGAGATACAAGGACCTCACCGAATTTCAGCATGTGAGGTTTACCACGTCCTTCTTGCTGGGGTTAGCATTCTGTGTTGATGGCTATATCTGTATTTGTATTCTTGATAAACTATCTACCCGGAGATCCTGATTTTGTGCTGTTTGAAAATATATCATATAACAATATCATTTTATCTAGTCCAGTTCCTCAGCTTGCCGGCTGCAATGCACTACCTCCCTGCATCAGGAGAAAACATCCTGTTGTGTGGCTGCCCTGCGATATACGAGAAGGGCTGATGTTTTAAAACTGATCGTCAGCCCTTTAAAGAACACCTTAGGTAGGCTTAACTGCTATGGATGGCGATCTGGAGACTACTTTAAGCTTCCTCTTTGACGGAGCTATGCTTTTCGGTGAGGGGAATGCGAGTTTTGAAGCCAGTTTATGCTTGTGTTTGTGTCCTTTTTGGATGGCCAACCAATGGCCCTTCGAAAGCTTTCATCTTCATTGAACTAGGAGCGGTGATCCTACTGACATTTGTGTCCTCATAGCCTGTACCTGTGGGTAAAGTAGCTCAATGGAACCACACTTCTTTTCTCTCCTGTTATGTGACGTGCTGGCCAGTTTCTAGCGAGGGTCAGTGTTTTATGGTGCATATCTAAGGCTTCACTTCAAATTTGGAAGTAGGCCTCCTTGAAGTTCTACGTCACTGCTGCCCCATCGACTGAAGGTAGTCGAACGATTTGGTCCATTAAATACATTGTTTACATCGGTTAGTGATGGTGATATATAGTGTAGTGCTTTCGGAACGTTCAGTTTCAGTTTTCCCCGGTTTTGCGTCATTTTTCGTCGATGCTCACAGAAAAAATTACTTAGGTCGAAGCGTCAGCTAATGATTTCTGATATCCTGACTCAACCGAAGCTATCATCAAACCAGATAACTAATGCTGCTACGCTTTCGTGCAGCCTGACCTCAATATCTTTCACTCATCCTGCTGGTGTCTTCATTTCTTGTTTGTAATACTTTGTTTCATTTCGCTCCACAATTTCACTATGATAGGTTAGCTCGTTCTATTTGTTTCTGTCATATCCACACGAGTCCACCTTTTGTATAAATCGATACGTGCGTTGGAATATCGGTATCTCATATTTGGCTAGTGTGTCACGTCACTGTGGGACAAAATCCTGTTGACCTTGGTAATATCTTTTCATCTGCTTTTAATTTTAGCTAGCAAGATACGTCCACATGGTAGGAACGAAGACAAGTGCGCGACAGGTAGGGCGCTCCAGCCAGCGATGACTGATCATGATTCTTTGGACCTAAATGGGGACGGCTCGGAAGGCGAACCAGGTCAGCAGTGGACTCAGGTTGGTCGTCCCGTTAACAGCCGAAATAACCAAAGACGTAAAGCGAAACCTTCTAGTCCAAAGGAAGCATGCTATGCAAACGGTGTTCATGAGACTGTTATGCGCCACCGCTCCTTTCGGGGAGGAAAGTGTTTTATTGTTCCCCAATGCAAACCAGACGGTGGTCCTGCTGGAACGGCACGCAACAGGAACCTTGACATCAATGAGGTCACTAACGGGCATGTATCGCAAACGGGGTCAGAGCGGCTGGCTACATCCGTTTCGAAACTAACAATCAGTACTCGAACAGATAGCACTGTTAATTCCACCGTATCTTCCCCTTCACCATCGATCGCTTCCGAGACACAGAATAGCTCGGAATTCACTGACGATAAACCGTCATACAGAGCTCACGGGAGATATCAGCGGAACCGTAAACTTGTCCAACATTCGTCTTTTGATGTTGATGACCAGTCTTCCCGAAATTCAGCACAGTTCCGACAAACATCGCCTTTACCCAACAGTTCCAGTGCTACAAATCTCTGCAACCCGCCTGCTCGGTCTTCCGTTGGACGTATGGTCCGTAGCCCGACTTCGCCTTCTGGGGCGACAGTCACTCAAGTGGCAACCTTTCCCGGCGAACCTTGGAGACACAGTAATCCAGGATGGCGACGTTCCCATCATTCAATGCCTTTTAGTGGTCGAGGTACCGTGCCTTACCACCGACCCAGTGCAAACTATCAACATGCACCAAGGCCATTTTATGGTGCTACACCACGGTATCGTCCACCAGCTCCACCAGTTGCCCTCGAGACGTCTCCGGTGATAGTTTTGAAAGAAGCTGCTCCTGCTCCATAAAGTCGCCTGTCTACGATACGGCTGTGGCTGAGCTACAGTCCACCAACTCTGAAAAGCGGACATCTTGGGCGGCCACAGTGGCTGCTGTTCCCCCCCGGACTGAACACAGAGTCCTTCCACCCCCCGAGGACCCCTCCCGGGCACAGCTATTGAACTTTTTGCTTGCCCAGTGGCAAATGTTCAATCATAAGATTTGATCCTCTGTTGTTTTGTTTTATCCATTCGTCTATCTACTGCTACGTTCTGACCAACAAAGCACACGTTACCTCTTTCACCGGTACCTCGAAGGTGTTGACGCTCGACGTATTACCAAAAATGTTTGGGGTTTCTATTGAATCTGAGCTTTTCAAAGAACAGTTTCTGTCCTAACGATGTGATCTCCCAAACGGCTATGTCACACCACCATGGTATCTGATTCCCAGAGAAATATTCGTTTTTGTAGTTTTTCTGCTGTTTGTTTTCCCTCGTCTTTTGTGTCGTTTGGCTATTGTCTCTTGCTTTACCATCAGTCTTCAGTTCAAGAAAAGCGACAACTCATAGTGTGTATATATTTGGAAGACAATGCAACTGTTTCGGTCATTTTTGCTTTAACCTCTGCAATTCTGACACCTTTTGCTTCTTGTATCGCGTTACCTAGTGCGATTATCTGACCTATGTTTTTGCTCAACCCGCTTGGGACTTAAATTTCCGAACCACTGCTTACCGCACAATCCCTATTTAGCTGCCTCGATCACTCTTCCTGCCTTTACACCGAACTGAACCGCTGTCGCAGTATGTGTATACTTGACCAACACTCTACCCACGGTAGCTTTCTAATACTATCATCATTATTCTCACGATCCTCACACTTCCTGATAAATGTGCTTTTGCAGATTTTTTTTATAAAGCGAGCATCTTGAAGACGCCGTTATTGTGCTGCTCATTTGACCTCCAGTTTGCGGTGGCATGTCGGTAACATTTTGGCTCGAATAATCAGACCAGGTCGTTCGACAATATTTCCCACAGGAAGAATGGGTACTGGTGAATTCATTTGTTGGTGGTGATCATTGGCTACCGCGATCTTTAGATGTGATTTGGTTCTGTTTTCAATTTTGGTACTAAGTTTCGCTATAGTGAGAAGCATAGGTGTTGAACACTGGTGTCATGCTGTCGGTGATGATGTTAAGGTGAGATGTTCACTAACTGTGTGTTGTGGTGCACACCAGCACCTACCTGAATTTGCATATAGATCGAACCGTCAGGAATTGGTTCCTATCCGTGTGGCTCCACATATACCAATTTTTACTATTACAGTAGCCGATCAGCAAAGTAAAGAGTAAAGCGGAACCTACTGGAAACCCACCACTACATGAAAATGCCTTCGGTGACGATCACCGGCTTGGTATATGGTGGGTTCGGTGTGCAGACAATTAGGTGCTGAGCGATTGGTCAGTTAGCCGGCACCATGTGGGAAGACCAGAACCAAGATACGATATATTTCAGATGTGTAATTTGTTAAGCTATTCAACGTATGTTTTTGTGCACAAAACAGTCTGAGGTCCATGAAAAAAGTATTAGGCGTATTGACCAACTGCGTTTACAGGGTGTTAGGAATAGGGTGACGGTGCTATGGACCATGTGAGTATAGTTTTTTTTATTAAAGTGTGAAAATGCTAGAATAACAGCTGAAATGAGTTATTCCAACACTATCCTTCAGCTGTAACACCCTTTTAGCGCATAGCTGCCACGCCACCTGAAGGAAGCACGAGAGCTACCGGGTTTCGAAAGCCTAGACGGGCGCAGTCAGGATGCTGGTGTTCGGTTAGAATCAGTAAGCTTCCAGTCAGTAAATTGGCGCGGGAACTACTGGGTTATCTCGAACTCAACCAGTCATCGACGCCCACCTCACCCAATCTACATGTTCACCTGTGTTAGCTCCAAATTTACTCTCGTGTGTCTTTGTTGAGCCTGTGTATCATTGATATGCTTGATTCGGTCATTCATCTCAAGTCGTGGATAATTAAATCGGGACACTGCTGTCTTATAACTATGTTCGGATCAGACATACCGCCAAATGAGGTCGGTCATCTGGCTTCATGAAAGAAAATTATTTTCTCCGGAATGAACTGCCTGAGCAAATTTTCATCACTTAGCGCTGATTGTGGGAAAATCTGTACGGTCAAATCCGAACTGGTAATTCTGATTTGTGCATGTCAGCACCTTATCGATTCACCAGGCAGTTTGCGTATCTTGTCCTCACAATACGCCTGTGAGCACAAAAAGGTTGTAGTTCTTCATGTGTGTTGCGTCAAGAACAAACTACTGTGAAAAGGTCACCTGCATATGGTGTATCTGCTGCTACTATGTTTGGATGGCGTCCAAGGACAGGACGTTAGGTTGGTATCGAGAATCAGATACCGTTCCGCACACTATTTATATCAACTTAGCAGAAATTTCTTCTTTGCCTTACGAACCCATTGCTTTGGCATGAATCTACCATTGTCGCTTGCAACTGCAGGTGAACCGACGGATGACTCGAATAACGGAGTGATCGGTTCCTCCCAGTCAATTAGTTTGTTGTGTAAGCAGCCGCTGAACGATGACCCAAAACTGCTGTTAGTCCCTGCCTGAGGCTGGTGAATATATGGTCACCCTCGAGGGATAGTAGTGAGGAAATGTCTTTTTTTTCGTGCAGATGGTAAACTGGATCTAATGAGCCTATGTAATCAATGGAGAATTTCGGATAGTTCGCCAGAAGGGCTTGTCTTGAAGGTTCTGTTTCCTTGGGTAACGCTTCTTGTTCAGTGGAATAACAATTACGAAGGCACTTTTATGGCTACTGAACCGAAGCGTGCAAAGTAAATTTTGCCGGTGACTTCAGTATGCTTTACAGCGAACAGAGTGGATTAGTGCATCGCCGTACCAGCATTTCCAAGGTATCCAGACTCGCTTGACCCTTGCTTGTGAGACATCAATTAGGATGATTATTTTAAAAAACCAAAAAAGATAATCGATATTCCGTTTGTGAGGCGAGGTAGTTGAAGTGTCAGTTGCGTACTTTCCTGTCATGGCGAAAATTTTGCCGTAGATCCTAAGAGGCTGCCTGTTCCAATGCCACGTATTCTTATATGCGGTATTTCGAAATATGAACACTTCTCTCAGTACAAAGAACAATGGCATCCTCTGATGAAGCAAGGAGGATCCGCTGTGCCATTTCGGTTATTAATTCGGGCTGCAAAATTTTTGACAGAGTAACAGAATTGGATTCATCAGTAGAAAGAGCTCACTGAGATTCTACAGATAAGCTCAGACTGGAAACATCCTTCAGACGGTAAGGCTTTAAGTTACTTTTGATGTGGTGTAGGAGGTTTGCTCGCGGAGTTACTAAGTTGTAATGAGGAGAGTTGCGCATTATCAATAGTGGTCTGAATACCGAGTCGAGTTCATGTTTATTTGGCTGTCACCGCCTCGTTGAGGCGTGAGTTCGAAGTAGCCTACTTTTTCGTGTACTCAAATTCAGTAATTAGATCATGCAGGCATAGCAGCTGGATGTTTCTTGTGTCTCGTTGCTTAACCAGTATGTTTTCGTTTGCGGCACCCAGCTTCAATTTTTTACCGTTTGACAAATAGTCGCCAAGCCCGACGACGATATCACACCTTTTTTAACGTGAAGAAACTTGACTTCGTTGCTTGGCCGCAATATTTTTGGCAAGGAATTGGTCTGATAATTTTATAAGTTCTGCTGTACTGGTGCGTGTTGGGATGTGATTCTTGACTTGGTCGTATAAAGCTTCACACTGAACCTGCATCCGTATCATCGGTTTTTTCCATATTCATGTCCGAGCTGACTGACTTCGATAGTGTCAGACAATGGAAACCTGTACACAATTACGTTGGCAGATTTGATTCGAAAGGAAAGCGAGTCGGTAGTCTAAGCCCATATGATGGAGTAATCAGAAGAAATGACAAACTTGAATCAGGCTTATCCATTGATGAATGGTTTCCACATGATTTAGCACAGTCCATGACTGGTTTGCAGCTGGCGGCTTCTCAGTAATACAGTGTTGGCGTTTTGTCAATGGGCTGGAAGTAGTTAGATAAGCCGTTCAGGAGGGTTTGGTAAACAAACGGTGGGTTTATAGCTGGGCGTTGTTTCGCCTTTGACGCGAAAACTTCGTCAGGCTGCGTTTGGGGACGGGG